TCTTCTTTTACTATAGTGAATGGCTGATGTAAGCGTATCTTCAATATTAGTGTTTAATCTCTAACTAAGCATATCATATATGATAAAGGAACGTGATAAGAACGTAGAATTTGGCAACGCATTATCTCCTGTTTAGTATTATATTATAGGAAAATTTAATTCAAGGGAAATAACTATAAAACATAAAAGGTAAATTAACCTAGCACAACTAAGACAGGTCTGATAAAACAAAATACAACATTGTAAATTTTGTATAGTATTTATATTTTAACTTTAAGTAAATAATTAAAAAAACAACTAAAAACAACTTATTAACAACTTAACATCTTATGTTCCTTTAAATCTTGGAAACATTAGCTTAATTTAAAGCTTCAATCAGACAATTTAGAAATAGTTCTCCCCTCTACCAATTCTTAATCAACTATTTATTCTGGATTACTATTTTGGGACATCCCATTAAAAACAACCCTTTTCAGCTACAACGAATTCAACTACCCTAACAATCGGAATGCCCGAAGAAGAGAGCCCAGATCTATTCTCCAGCCAACCAAACACAACCATGCAAGTCATAATTCAAACGAATGGACATCCAAATCTTCGAGGGCACGTTATCCGAAAACTGATAAGTCCACAACAGATTCTGCTGATAAATTACGGCCGAAGTGACACGTGGTTCTTCTCATCAGACGCTTTCAACGTAGCGACGATGGATAATACAAGTAAACGGTATGGGCCCTACACATTGCATTTCTCGATCTATCACAAAGACAGAATCAATGGCACACTTAGATGGGTCCCACCAGCACTAGAGAACGATGATTTGCTAAAGGCTCTCAGAATAATAAGCAAAAAAGAACCAATAGTAAACAGTATCCCATACACAAACAACCGCAGCTTCACCATCTTCTCCAACACTCCGAATACTATACCACATTATATCAAGTTTAACTATAAAAATAGACCCATCAACATCCTCGTGTCCATACCTGGAAGACGACAAGCCTGCCAATCATGTGGTTCAACACAACATTGGACAAGTCAATGCCACCAGCGAGATCAAGAGTGGGAACAACAACCATCCTCACCGACAACTGTAACAGTACCACCTAAAGCTACACCTCCACCGCAGCAGCCAATAGCACCCACAAATCAGATGAACCAACAAGCGATTCCAAATACACCTACTCCAAAGTCACCAGCTAAAGTTTCAACACAAGTTCAAAACACTGCAGCAACAAACCAGTTTTAGAAATAGACACCACCTCAATGAAAAGGAAAAATCAACATAGCCCTACAGAGCAGGGGAAGATAACAAAAGTACAAAAACTTGCAAACTTAACACACAACCATCTGACATGCAGCTTCTGCCCCAACTCATACAAAAACTTGCAAACTTAACACACAACCATCTGACATGCAGCTTCTGCCCCAACTCATACAAAAACTTTCAAACTTAACACACAACCATCTGACATGCAGCTTCTGCCCCAACTCATACAAAAACTTGCAAACTTAACACACAACCATCTGACATGCAGCTTCTGCCCCAACTCATACAAAAACTTGCAAACTTAACACACAACCATCTGACATGCAGCTTCTGCCCCAACTCATACACAAACTTGCAAACTTAACACACAACCATCTGACATGCAGCTTCTGCCCCAACTCATGCAAAACAGTCAAAGAAATGATAATACATGAAAACTCAACACACACCAAAGCCAAACAGTGTACCATCTGCAAGGATACAATAGCCCACAACAACATAAGAGAACACTACCAGCGCGAACACAACGACGAAACTGTTCTCGAATGTTGCTATTGCGACTTACACCTCCCAGCAAATAGCCTTTATGAACACATTAAAGCTCACCACCCGAATCTCATGAGTCAGCAAGTTAATGAGAGTATAAAATCTAGTCTGGACACAATTATTACTGATTTTAACGTTTTGTATTAAGCAACATTATGGGAAAATACAAATGGTAGAACATAGAAATTGTGGGGAAAAAAAACAAGTTTCTGGAAAAAGAAAAAAAAACTTATTATGAGGGGAAAAAAAATATTATGAGGGAAAACATTTTAATTTCAGATTGAATCTATATAGTAAAATTATTCGCTCTGATCCGGATTCGAACTTGCAAATATTAGTCTTACTCCGTCACATTGTTTTTGAAATGATGCACCTAATCATTAGGGATCCAGAAATAGAGATTTGATTGAGCACCTCATCATTAATAAAAAGAAAAGTTTCAAACGTGTATCAATGAGTCTTATGTGTAAGCTAAGGTATTTGCTTTCGTGCACGTACGGTGTCAAAGAGATTAAATTAAATTAAATACTTTAAAGTTTTCGTAGATAACATAAATGATTAATACTTAGTATCATGTAATAACATTCATTGTGTTGTATTATGCTTGCCATGCATGTATTAGTTTTTCTTTTTTTATTCCTTCGTGGAATAAACTATAGTAAAGGAAGAACAGACCAAAGATTGGATACAAGCCTACATCAGTTATAAACTATAGTAAAGGAAGAACAGACCAAAGATTGGATACAAGCCTACATCAGTTATAAACTATAGTAAAGGAAGAACAGACTAAAGATTGGATACAAGCCTACATCAGTTATAAACTATAGTAAAGGAAGAACAGACCAAAGATTGGATACACGCCTACATCAGTTATAAACTATAGTAAAGGAAGAACAGACCAAAGATTGGATACAAGCCTACATCAGTTATAAACTATAGTAAAGAAAGAACAGACCAAAGATTGGACACAAGCCTACATCAGTTATAAACTATAGCAAAGGAAGAACAGACCAAAGATTGGATACAAGCCTACATCAGTTATAAACTATAGCAAAGGAAGAACAGACCAAAGATTGGATACAAGCCTACATCAGTTATAAACTATAGTAAAGGAAGAACAGACCAAAGATTGGATACAAGCCTACATCGGTTATAAACTATAGTAAAGGAAGAACAGACCAAAGATTGGATACAAGCCCACATCAGTTATAAACTATAGTAAAGCAAGAACAGACCAAAGATTGGATACAAGCATACATCAGTTATAAACTATAGTAAAGGAGGAACAGACCAAAGATTGGATACAAGCCTACATCAGTTATAAACTATAGAAAAAGGAAGAACAAACCAAAGATTGGATACAATCCTACATCAGTTATAAGCTATAGTAAAGGAAGAACAGACCAAAGATTGGATACAAGCCCACATCAGTTATAAACTATAGTAAAGGAAGAACAGACCAAAGATTGGATACAAACCTACATCAGTTATAAACTATAGTAAAGGAAGAACAGACCAAAGATTGGATACAAGCATACATCAGCCGAGACAGACAGAAGAGAAAGAATGAAAAATAACCTGGAGGACCGGAGCGCTCACACAGGCCACGCCGATTACCTCAACGCTCCAATTACAGTACAAGAAATTAAAAACGCTATAAACAAAAAAAAGAACACTGCGTCAGGCACAGACATACTTAGCTATGAATTAATTAAAAAGCTGCCATTAGAAACAATTCTTATCATAGCCGACCTTTTTAACCTTATCTGGAACTCAGGAAAAATCCCAGTAAAATGGAAACTAGCCACAATAATTCCCATCCTTAAACCAGATAAATCCCCACACGAAGCAGAGTCGTATCGGCCCATATCCCTGACATCTCATCTAGGAAAAGTTCTGGAAACAGTTGTCAACACAAGACTAAACTTCTTCCTAGAAAAAAATAATTTACTGAGTCTTAACCAGTCAGGCTTCAGAAAAAATCGAAGTACAGTTGACCAGATACTTCGACTGGAAAGCGACGTCAAGGCTGCCACCAAAAAAAGGGAACACACAGTTGCCATCTTCCTAGACGTGGCCAAAGCCTACGACACCTGCTGGACATGGGCGATAACCCACAAAATTAAAAAATTAGGAATAGGAGGCCCCCTACTTAGTTATATAACAGACTTTCTATCAGACAGAATGATGCAGGTCAGGGTAAACGACCAATATTCCAACACTTACAAGCTAGAAAATGGAATACCCCAGGGATCGGTCATTGCCCCCACACTATTCTCCATCATGGTGAACGACCTAGATAGGGAATTCATGGACGTGAAGAACTCCCTGTCCCAATATGCTGACGACTCCTCGACATGGCGGTCAGGCAAGTCCATCACAAAAATTAACAGGGAGTTACAGGCGCAGCTGGATAAAATGATGGAGTGGATGAACCAATGGGGTTTCAAGATAAACGCATCCAAAACGGTAGGAATGGTCTTCACTCACAAAAAATCACGCAACATCACCAAACAGGTCTCACTAAAAATTAACAATACAGTCATAAAAATAGCCCAGGCCACAAGGTTCCTAGGAGTCACTCTTGACCCCATGCTGACCTGGAACACACATATAGAAGGCATAGCACAAAGCTGCAAGGGTATGCTCAATATGATGAGATACCTAAAAGGTCACAGCTGGGGTGCCAGGACTGAGTGCCTGTTAACCTTCTACAAATCGTTTGTAAGGGGCAAAATAGACTATGCCAGCATAGTCTATGACTCGGCATCAAACTACACAAAAAAAACCCTCGACAAAATACAGAACCAGGCCCTTAACATAATTGCCGGTAGCAATAGTAGTACCTCCAAAGAAGCCCTAGAGGTCCTCCTGGGAGTAATCCCCCTCTCACTCCGCAGGAAGGAACTCAGGCTAAACTACTGGGCCAAAGTAAAACATCAAAACCACCCAACCTCAGCGGCCTTCCTACCAGTGCTACCCAGGGCATGGGGAATCCCCATTGGGAAATTCAGCCCCCCCCGCCAGCTGGAAAACACCGGGGGAACTGGAATCCTGCAACCAAACCTCAATCGCGGATCAAAACTTAGTCATCCACAAACCTATAGTCCCCCCGTGGGAACTGACATCCCCATCATTACACACAGACCTGCACAATCAGATAAATAAAAAAGAGGACCCAGTAATGGCCCGTATTGAGGCTTCAAATGAGATAGAAAGGATAACAGCCAACAGCCTAACCATCTACACAGACGGCTCAAAAATAAACGAGAAAGTTGGAGCAGGGTTCCACATCCCCCACCTCAACCACTCCAGGAGCTTTAGGTTGACAGACGGCGCCTCCATTTTCACTGCCGAGCTAACGGCCATCCTTATGGCCCTCGAGTACACCCCAACAACCCCACATACCAGCATCAGTATATTATCCGACTCCCTGTCAGCATTACAGGCCATTAAAGGGGGAGAATGCTGCAGGGACGACATTGCAGAAGAAATTCTTCATAAATGCTCCGAGTGGAAACAAAGGGGTCGCTCGGTGCAAATGATCTGGATTCCCTCCCATATCGGCATACAAGGTAACGAGAATGCCGACAAAGCTGCTAAAAAGGGAGTGGAATCCAGAGCTATTGTGAAAACGGGAATAGGCTATTCCGAAATGAAAGCTACTATAAAGAAACAAATAAAAGAAGAATGGATTCAAAAATGGAACGCAAGCGACAAGGGTAGGCACGCCCACAACATACTTCGACCACCCGACGGGAGACTGCAGGTTACAGAAGACCAACGGCCACCCATTAATAAAAAAATTACAAGGCTGCGTCTAGGATCAGCCTCCTTCATTCACACAAAGAAATGGTGCCACACCTGCAATGAAATAAACACAATAGACCACTACCTAATACACTGTAAGGCATACAACAATCAAAGAAAAGAACTCATCAACTACTTCCAGACAAACAAAAACACATTACTAACAACAGAAACATTACTGGCTATGGACGCCCCATCCACTCTGCATAGCCTGTTAAAAACATATGTGCACAAAACCAAAGAATCAGTCTAATAAGCTGTAAAGATAAAATAATATTCACCCAATAACAAAATACAAATCCCGTACAATAAAAAAACTACACCCAAAAATGAAAGGAAAACAAATGAAACCAAACTGTATATACACAAAAACAACGAACTAACCACCAAAAATAGTCGGCGATATAAACGTAAGTTTGAAAGCGGACTTTAAAACCCAAAACAACAACAACAACATCAATGTAAGCTGTTTGGCATTTTGTAACGTTATTTCTGGATCCCTTGTAATTAAGGGACATAAAAAAAAATAATAATTAAAAGGGCATAATTAAGCGGTATGTCAGTGCAATTAATGTCAAACCTCATCAAGTATTGAAGATGCGATAGTAGAGATAAACTATCACTGAATTAGTTAATCGAAAAAAAAATGTTTTTCTATTTATCGAAATGTAAAATTTACGAATTTAAACCTTTAATGTAGTGATGACGTCAGTTATCCCCAATAAACAGTGCACGAGGACACCATGTTTTATTGATCCATGTGGATTTCGACGCTGTTTAGCTTGTAGATTAGTCGCAATTGTATTCTACTCTAGTCGAGTACACACATTGAGCGTGTATTCTACTCTAGTCGAGTACACACATTGAGCGTGTGTTCTACTCTAGTCGAGTACACACATTGAGCGTGTATTCTACTCTAGTCGAGCACACACATTGAGCGTGTATTCTACTCTAGTCGAGTACACACATTGAGCGTGTATTCTACTCTAGTCGAGTACACACATTGAGCGTGTATTCTACTCTAGTCAAGTACACACAATGAGCGTGTATTCTACTCTAGTCGAGTTCACACATTGAGCGTGTATTCTACTCTAGTCGAGCACACACATTGAGCGTGTATTCTACTCTAGTCGAGTACACACATTGAGCGTGTATTCTACTCTAGTCAAGTACACACATTGAGCGTGTATTCTACTCTAGTCGAGCACACACATTGAGCGTGTATTCTACTCTAGTCGAGCACACACATTGAGCGTGTATTCTACTCTAATTATTATTTGTATTATTTATTTATTTTTAATTTTTAAATTAAATTTTATTTAGAGTTAATAAGGAGCAACTAATGACCACACCAGCCTGCAAAAACCCTTGCTACGCTACTATGTGTGTGGTTATTGCCCTTTGCTGTGTGTCGACGACACTTATCATTCAATATCTGATAAACGAGTGAGAAGATGAGAACTGGAGAAAATGAGGCAAAATGTTGATGCCTGAAGAGCTTGTATCAGTAGAACACAGTCCCAGTGGGGTTACACGCGAATGTATATCGCGATATCCAACCCCGTGTATGACGTAGTCAGTCACGTGAGATGGCAGATAAATGCTGGCTTTGCATTATTCAGGTTATTGTGTTCTATTGAATGGCAAGCTATAGGTTGGTGAGGGGGGGGGGGGGGGGAGGATGGTGTTGGGAGTGAGCGGCCGGTGTGTGTTGTGAGTGATGGTGTTGTGGGGGTGGTTGTAATTCAGTGAGGGGGATGTTGTGACGGAGTTTCGGGTTTATGGTGATAAAGGTTGGCGGGGGTGTTGGGGTTAAGTTGGGGTGTGTGTGGAGTAATTTTATAGGGCGTTGTGAATTTGGATGCAGTTGAGATGAAATTTGGGTGGCTACAGGACATTACCCCCCCCCCCCCAGTACATTTCCCCCCACCCCCGTATTTATCCCCAGGAGCAATTACCCCCCCCCCTAAACCTATCCCCAACCCTAGTCCTAACCCTCTCTAACCTTAACCCTAACCCTAGCTGTATCTTAAGCTATGTCAGAGGGGTAATGCCCTGGTGGGGCGAGGGGGGTGGGTATATGAGAGGGGGGGGGGGGGTAAATGTCCGAGGGTAATTGATGGGGTGTAATGCCCTGTTCCCGGTTCGGGTGTGGGTTGTGTATTTGGTGTGGGTTGTGTATTGGGTGTGTATTGTGAGTGAAAAAGGGGGTTCTGTAGTTACTAAATATTTATTATATATATAGAAGCATCATAAATTGCAATGTTCCAAAACAGTTAAAGTTTTTAACACTGAATATTATTTTATTACTTAGTTACTTCCCATTATTATACTTTAAAGGTAAGGGAAAGCATTTCGCGTGTTTTACCTAAAACCTATTAAAAATAGAAAAATGTCATTAGTAATGACATAAAGAAGTGATAATTATATATATTTTATTAAACATATTATTTTAAATTGACAGTAAAAATATTTTTTTTTAATTTGAAATAACGTTTATTTCTTTTAACTGTCTAGTTTTAAATCGAAAACCGTAAATATACTGAATACACAATCAATTTTTAAAAAAAAACAAAAATTATTTTATTCAATTATTGGACGGCAAGTTCCAGGCTTTTTCATGTATTTCATACTGATCAAGAATCGAATCGAAGTAACCCTAAGATGGGTCCCACCGACAATTGACAATGACATTCTCGTCAAGGCACTAAAAACATTCAATATAAAAGAATCCAGTATACAAACAATCCCACTAACAAACAACCGTAGATTAACTATATATCCAGAAAAAAACAACAGAAATTCCACACTATATCAAATTAAACTAAAAAGACAAAACAATCGACATTCTAATAGCCATCCCAGGCAGGAAACAAGCCTGCCAACACTGCTCATCAACACAACACTGGACAAACCAGTGCAACCAACCACACCTGAAACCACCGCAGCAGACAACCCCAAAACCAGCACGACCATCAACAGCAAAATCAACAACGTCTATTACAGCAAGGAATATCAACACAGCCGGTCTTCTTCTTTCTTAATTTTAGTGTTGGAAGAGATTCACCCCAACACCATTAAGTATACGTGTCAACTGGTTATGCGCCATTGAGGCCGTTTACTCCGATTTCAGCCTGCTCTTCTTTTGGATTTACGTCCATAGCCTTAGTCTAACTAAAAGATGTCTCTCCTAGAAGAGTAGCTGTCTCCAGGTAACGAGCCTCATTTGGCCGAGGGTTCGAACTCGAGACGTTTCGGTCTAGAAACCGACTCGACTACGCCGACCCTTAGTCATTTCCGCTCTCTAAAGCCCAGTGATTGACACATCAGAATCCAATGTCTTGAAGACGCCAACATCTGACCATGGTGAAGCAGCACAACAGCCAACAAAAAGCATGTATGCAGTCACCACCCATATCTCGACACCAAAGAAAGAAACTTCCAACCCACAAATATCACAACAACAAACAATCGTGGAAACATCAACAACAAACAATCGTGGAAACATCAACAACAAACAATCGTGGAAACATCAACAAAAAACAATCGTGGAAACATCAACAACAAACAATCGTGGAAACATCAACAACAAACAATCGTGGAAACATCAACAACAAACAATCGTGGAAACATCAACAACCAAAAGGAAGAAAGAGGACAGCCCAGAACCAGAGAAAACATCAAACGCAGCTAAAGTTAACGAAGGAGACAACGAGTCGGCAGTCACCACCTTAGAGGCGACGGGGGGGGGGAGTACATATGTCCCCGGGTGCCGTCCCAAGGGGGCGCCAAAATGGGTTGGAAAAAAATAAAAGCTCATTTCTAGGCGCAGTTTTCCATTATAAATATAAAAAAAATATAGGGGGGGGCAAATTGAAATTTTGCCAGCGGGTGGGGGGGGGGGGTGGGGGGGCGGGGCGCCAAATTGAAAGTTTGTACCTGGGCGCCGGGAAGGATTTTCCAAAGCCTGTGCACAACCCGTCCAAAACAACGAAATTTAAAAGTTATCGTAAGCAAGGCATAGGGGCCCGAGGCAAAAACTTTTACATTGGAATTTTAATATTTAAAATAATTTTAAAAAGAAAACGGAAATCCAGTTTCTTTTATACTGGAGAAGTAATTAAAAGGTACAAAAAAGGCCTCCCCCAAACCTTTCTTAATGGGGAGGGTTTTTATTAATACCACTATAGGCTTTGTTGCAAGAAACATAAGGAAGTCGTTTAGCAACCATTAGCTTTACTGACTCAACCACGCCGATCCCATAAATTGACATCAAAAGAGCGCATGCGGCTCGCGAGCCGCAAGTTGCCGACCCCTGGCCCAAAGGGTTTCACTAATGACATGCGATTCGAACTTTCGCCTAATCCAGGGGTCGGCAACCTGCGGCTCTATTGATGTCAAGGGGCGGCTCTCGAGTTCAATGCACAAATATTAGGCCTAATAGTTATATTTTATCAAAACTCTTTAATATATATTGTAGTGTAAAGAAAAGCAACTTTAAACATGCTTAAACAACTCACCAGAGAACAATGAAAATCGGTGCAGTAGAAAGTATACGGACAGCTGACAGCCGCTTGGGTACCAGGCCCAGCCCCACATCTTTGCTGTAGCCAGCCCCATAGCAACAATTCAATGCTTGCTACTGCCCAAGTGCCAACTTTTTCGAATATCGTTAAAATGAAGAATGTTATTTTATTCATAATGCATTCCCCTGCCTGTCAGTATGCATCCATTTGACGTAGTATTTTAGTTATGTTGAGCCAGGTACTGGCCTATGGGGTACGAGTAGAGTGGAAGATAAGTCCTGTGAGAAGCGACCGATACACGGTAATCAAACCGATACCCAAGCCAGTTAGTCGGAGTTTGCCGTGTTGAGACCTGCATGGCTATGGGAGACACCTACTGGGCCGGTGATATCCGTAAAGACAGAAAAAAAAATTATTGGCTACTAAAATGGATTGGGATAGTCCTGTAGTTACATTATTTGATTACTAAGTTTATTATAGCAGAGCTAGCTAAAGCACTTTTTGTGCGGAATATATGTATGTTTTTATATGAATCAAGATTAGTTTATATTTAACGCTATCTATTTCAAATTAAAAATCTAATGTATGTACCTAATCCTTATGAAATACCAAAATATTGAAAACATAATATTAGTGGCTCTTTAAAAATTGGGACATTTTGTAAGTTGTAACTTTTGGCTCTTCCGTCTCAAAGGGTTGCCGACCCCTGCCCGAGTGCAAACCCACA